CAATGACTGACTTTGGATCTGGTTTTTAGTGATGAAAAACAGTAGCAGTCATCTGAATACATGGGTAGAATGATGATTACTGTGGTGGACTGAACCACCATGTGCAGATATTTACTATGTATTTCCCATCTGTAGCTTCTCGGAAGGACTGCAGAATATTCCACCTGCTAAATCTTTGGACTCTGTGGTACTCTGCCTATTTTTCCCTGTGACTAAGATGCTAAGGATGACTATCACAACTATTATATTTATCCTCTATCTGTAATCTGATTTTACTGTCCAAAGGTAATGTTCACAGATAGATTCCTCAGAGTGAAATGCAGGCACTGCATTAAAATATTTCGGGGGGGAATAGCATTGTAGCTTGGAAAGTTACATTAGCTCTGAGAATTTTGACGTGTTTCAGAAAGATCAGTGAATAAAATAGTACACAAATATAAAATACAGGGGTAGAGCTAGAGGTCCAGGAAATATACAACAAAAAGTTGAAGCAATGTGAATGGACACGATCATCTGGAGAGAATGTGTACAGCAAGAAGCGAGGCAAAGATGGAACTCCTGGGAGAAACCACATTTATAGAGAAGGAAAAACCAGAAGAGCTAAATGCAGGGGCAACGTCAAAGAGACACAAGAGAAAGGAGCGCTCCTCACAAAGGAGTAGGCAAGGGTGGAGCAGAAGGTGTAATCAGCAGGGCCAAGACCATAAGCCATTAGGCAGTAGCCAGGAGTCACTGACAGTCTTTGAACAGTCTCCTTTGAAGAATCAAGGTTGAAGCGAGGCAGGGGTGGCCTATAGGAGGGCGGTACGGATGTGGAGTGAGGGTGGATTGCTTTTCTCTAGTAGTTTGAGGAACAGAGAAAGTAAGTGGAAATCTGGACCAAGAGAAAGAATCCATGAAAACAAAGAAAGTAGGGAAAGAGGATACTTGCAACAAGTTCCTAAAAGTGTAGATCTAAATATCTAATGTTCATTTATGATAAAAAAAAAACTACAGAAAATAGGTATAGAAGAACCTCCTCTCAATCTGATAAAAGCCATATGTGACAAACCTACTGCCCACATCATATAATATGGGGGAAAACTGAAAGCTCTCCCTCTAAAATCAGAAACCAGACAAGGATGTCCGCTATCACCACTCCTCTTCAATATAAAACTTGAAACTTTATCCAGAGCAATCAGGCAAGAAAAAGAAATAAAAGAGACATATGTAGGAAAGAAATGCAAAAAAAAGTGTAGGAAAGGAATGCAAAGTGATTTGGAAGCTTTGGGATTGAATTCCATGGTCCCTGATCTATTAAACCTAAGTATGTTGCCTGAGGAGTCATTTCTTTACTGTTAATTTTTATGTGAGTACATGTTTGCAGTATA